TAATTTGATACTCTCTTTATTCAAAATTACAAATTAGTAGATCACTTTAATTGAATAATATTATGACAACTATACACATTTAATTTACATATGTTGTCCAATAAAATATTTCTAACAATCTCCCACTTGGACTACATATGCAACCGAACAAATGTGTACTACTTTATGAGCTCAAACTTTGTCGTCACAAACAAGAGTATCCTTTACCAATCTTGTCCATTAATCGTATGACATAGGACTAAAGAGGCCTTCATCATTTTTAGCATGAATCAACCCATCAATAATCACACATATCAATACAATCAAATGACATAGATCAATCATGAAAGTGCAGCATGAAAATTACATGTAATGTGATCTTACATGCCTATTTTCAACTGGCCACTTTATTCCACAGTGAGATCAATATAAAACCAAAATTACAGAGTATAATACACCTACTTTATATCTGATCAGAAATATCCAAACACACATATACAATATGTCTATAGAATAATTAATACAGACTCCCACTAAAACCAAGTATCTTGAAATTGTGTCATACCCATTCGAACAGTATGTTCATGAAAGACCTTGGGTATTAGACCTTTAGTAAGCGGATCCGCAATCATTGAGTCTGTCCTGATATTTTCTATAGCAAATTGTCCATTCTGTATTCTTTATTTTATAACTAGGAACTTTATGTCGATATACTTTGACTTAGTTAAGTTCCTACTATAATTGGAATATAATACTGTTGAATTGATGTCACAATAAAACTTTAGTGGTCTTTCTACGTTCTCAATAATTTGCAGCCCAGTGACATTTTTTCAACTATATTCCATTATTGGATGTCTCATAACAAGCTACAAAATCAGTTGTCTTGACATCCACCAAAATCAGAATCAATATACTCAATGATCTCCAAATGATCTGATTTTCTATAAGTGAGCATGTAATCATTAGTTCTCTGTAAGTATCTTATGACTCGTTTGGCTGCTTTCCAATGATTTATACTAGATTTACTTAAATATCTATCCACTATACCAACAATAAAAGATATATATAGTCTTGAAAAAACCCGAGCATACATCAAACTCCCACTGAATTTATGATACACACACTTATTAATAACTTTCGTCTCAAAACCAAATGAGATTACTACCTGATGAAATTTATGGTACCACTGACGAGATGTCTGTTTAAGTCCATAGATGGATTTCTTTAGTTTACAAACCATTTTCTTCAGGTCATCTACCTCAAAGCTTTCTGGTTATACCATATGGATCGTTTCATCAATGCCACAATTGAGAAACGTCGTCTTTATATCCATCTAATGAAATGCAAGGTCAAAATATGCTACTGATGCCTTACTTTCTTTCAATTCATTATTGCCTTTATTTTCTTGAAGAAAGCATAATCATCCGAAAAATGGTATTTCTTTAATCTCAAGTGTATCTCTTTAATGGCATAAGTTATTGAGGTTGTTGAGTTTGTTCATCCTGAATAATTAAACTAGTTTGAGTTGAGAGATTCTTGACATTATTCTGTTGAGGTTCCAAATCTACTTCTCGACTAATTACAGGAATAGAGACATGCACATTGTCAGAAGCAGTAGTAGAAATCGGAAATGATTCTTCCTCAAAGATAATGTCCTTAGCCTTATTTCTCCCCCCAAATTCAACATCCTCAAAAAATATCCATTTCCCATCTTAAATATAAATCTTTAGCTGGATAAAAAAAATAATAATAAAACCCTTAACCTTAGGAATGTTGTTGGTATTAGCAGATATATAAGTACCATATATCATAACTTAACAGAGAATAATAATAACTTAATCAACATACTCACATCAATCATACAATTTTAAATAAGCTTAGTAACATCTCAAGGCACCTAGCACAACATCAATATCAAGTCTTTGGACAGTAATATTAATTTGTAAGTGGTCGCCTTTGTGTAGTAATCAAATATTGACAAAATTCCTGTCAAACAATAGTCTCTCTTTTGAAAGACATATTATTCACATGGATATAAACCATATATTGTCATATATTTACCACCACAGGTATTTATATATTTCTGCCAAATGCTAATCTTCCTTTGGGCCGATTAAACAATCGAATGAAACTATACAAATACAAACATCTAAAATTCTCGACAAATAAATCTACATAAGAGAGGTCACTTTTGCAACTTCTTGCTTCAATAAACTCATCGTGAATATTAGACAAATTATAATAGGAACATGAGATGTATCAAAACAAATTTAAACGAAATGATTGAAATATTTATTTATAGATGTGCAATCATTAAATTAATTTACTATATATTTGTACAACTAATAAATAAATAATTAACAGAATTCAAAAATTCCTGAAATTAATCTCAATTGAATTTAACTAAAGCGAATCCTTAATATAATAATCTAATCACTTATCAAAGACTCTGATAAGTTGATAATACATATTAACCATAACAATGAATGAAAACCAAATTAACCCAATGGCTGCTACCTTGACACGAAACGGCACTTCGGCCACCAATTTTGGATCAATTCTTTTTTTTTTTTTATTTACGAAAATAAAAAAAATTGAAGATTCCAAGTTTCATCTTGAATCAAACTACTTGCAACTTAATTCATGTAGTCTCAAATCCTAACAGTAATTATAAATAATTGAAACTAAAAACAATTGCAAGTATTTATCCACACATGAAAATAAACGGAGGTAGATAAGAAAAATATACATATTGATTCTCAAAATTCAACATGAAGTCTCTGATACCACTTGTTGAAATTTAATTTAATCCCAAAATCATTCATGTTCAATCATTGAGAATCAAACAAACCAAAGAACGGAAGCGTACCTAATTATTTGGGAATTCTTCTCTTCTCCTGGACTGGACTGCCTTTTGTATTACTGTATATTAGACTGATGAGGACTTCCAAACGTTCGTTTAAATTTGTATGATTGATTTAATGTTGCACATATATAAAAAAGATTTATATTTAAGATGGGAAATGGATATTTTTTGAGGATGTTGAATTTGGGGGGAGAAATAAGGCTAAGGACATTATCTTTGAGGAAGAATCATTTCCGATTTCTACTACTGCTTCTGACAATGTGCATGTCTCTATTCCTGTAATTAGTCGAGAAGTAGATTTGGAACCTCAACAGAATAATGTCAAGAATCTCTCAACTCAAACTAATAAGATCAGGGCACTAACTCAAATAACTTGATAATTGATGGATCATGAATCCGAAATAGCAAATTAAACTCATAACCGCATTCATCAAGTATATCTTGGAAGCCCAAAAAATTAATAATCTAAAACAAATAGTTTCGTTAAGATAAAATCAAATAATCAATTTATGCAAGCCTGGTGAATATAAAAATCGAGGCTCAACAAATCCCCTTAATTAATTTTCACATGAATACGATTCACATATAGATCGAAAATAATTTGATTCTCAAAAATCAATATGAAAAGTCTCTGATACCACTTGTTGAAAATTTTAGCCTTATGCGAAACAAACTTCGCTTTACCCCAGGAGCATTCATATTGAATAATTGAGAATCAAACCGAATAAAAGCGGAAGCGTACCGTACTTCATGAATTCATTTGCTTGATAATTCTCGTGTGTTGTGTTCTTCCAAATGATCTTGTTGGACTGGTATGGTCTTCCAAACGATCGAACCTTATAGCAGATTTTGATCTGTAGTGTTTGTATTGGATATATGATTTTGTATTTTTTTTAAAAAAATCATTCTGAAGTGAGAAGGTGAGTGCTTTTAAAGGGAGAAAACACCCCTTCATAAATCTGCTCGTGTCTTTTCGTCGTTTGGGGCCATAACCAAATAAATAAGAAATATTGATTTTCAGTTCGGTCCCTCAACAAACAGAAAATCACATAATGATATCTACACTTTTAAATCCATAATAATTTGATACTCTCTTTATTTAAAATTACAAATTAGTAGATCATTTTATTTGAATAATATTATGACAACTATACACATTTAATTTACATATGTTGTCCAATAAAATATTTCTAACAACTTGTGCATATTTAGATAGATGGTGAGTGAATAAATGTATGTGGGAGTCAAAATCGTGAGACCCGATGCTGCAAAAAGAAACCACTAAAGTGAGAATATACACATACACACACGCGCGTATGTGTGTGCGAATATTATAATAATAATATAATAATAATAATAATAAGGTAGAAAAAGCAAAAGTTGGAGATGATGGCCTTCCCTGTTCTGTTCAAAAGCCTTTTTTCTACACGTGATAAAGAAAAAAACATCGAAAGCACTTTGCATGCGTGTATAAAAGATTCATATATAATCATCATCATCACTATCACCATCTCTCTTTTCTCTCTCTCTCTAGTGAGCGCACACAAAGTCACAACTCGGTCCCTTGCAATTTTTGAGTCTTTTCTTTTTTCTTTTTCGCGAAATTTTGAGTATTTTCATCATCGCATTATTGCCGAAATCTTGATTCTGGCCCAACCCAATCCCATTTTTCCCTTTTCACCTTATAATAATTTCCTTTTTTTCATAAGTTGCTAGTATCTTTTTTAAAACAGTCTTTTAAGTCGTTTGATTAAAAAGCGCACTTGTGCATCAAAGCTCAGATTCAAAAAAAGATTCAATCTTTTCATGATATGATTCCTTGGGTCCGTTTTTATTATTTTCTTTTGCTGATTTATTATTGTGTAATAAATTCATGGCGGGTTTAAGTTAAAGTTGGAATCTTGGGGTGCTCTTTTCATCGTATGTTATAAGCATTTGTTGTTGTTATGTGTTGTAATGAGATGTCCTTTTCTGTGCAGCGAGTGAAGGAGATTTGGGGCTGGAGATGTCGATTTCTTACCAGTGAGTTGTTCAATGTTTATTCCCTTTTTTTTTATTTCTTTGATTTTGTGTTATGTGTTGCTTTTGTTGCTTTCTAGGCGTTTTTATTCTCTCTTTTCTTGAGCAGTCTTATTGTTTCCTGTCNTATACATTATATTTTTTTTATTTCATATGCATGTTTATGTATATATATATAATATTAGTGTCTTGGATTTATTAAAAATCACTTTTCTGTTTCTTCTGCTGAGTGCTGAATAGTCTTGGTTCTGGTTAGGAGACAAGAAGCTGAAGAATAGTTTGGTCTTCTGGGTATTTATTTATAGTTTTTGATTAATTATGCATGTTTTTTTTTTCTGATTTCCATAACAATTGTGCACATATGTATCATCTTATGAAGAATTAAAAATAATCCTTAGCTTCTCCTGGGTTCAAAACCTAAGATTTGATGTTGCCTCGTGTTCTTGGTAGTATATTTCTTTTGTCTCCACATAAATGTAGTCTTTGCTGAATGTTACTCTTGAATTTCAACAATGTCCTGAAAAAGAATTGTTTCTAAATATTTTTCCGTCAAAAGATTTTTTTACCTTTCAGAAGGACTTGTCTGTATGTGTCTTTGGGATAACGAGCACTTACCTAACGCTTTCCAGTCAGATATATTGGTTTTTTTAATTTATTCATTTTTCACCATCCTTCATTTCTGGCTCTGCAATGTTATGAAGTCAAAGATTTGTTTTTTTCCTCTTCATATTCTCTTTTCTTTTTTTCTTTTTTGGTTGTTT